GTATCTAAAGGGTGGGTTGAAGGAGGATGGAGCCAGACTCTTTTCAGTGGTTCCCAGTGACAGGACGAGGGGCAATGGGCACAAGTTGAAACATAGGAAGTTCCGTTCCAATACACAGAAACACCACTTTACGGTTAGGGTGACCGAGCACTGGCACAGGCTGCCCCGGGGGGGTGTGGGGGTCCCTTCTCTGGAGATTTTCAAGACCCGCTTGGATGCAGTCCTGAGTCATGTGCTCTGGGCAATCCTGCTTTAGCACGGGAGTTGGCCTAGATGATCTCTAGAGGTCCCTTCCAACTCTGAAAATTCTGTGATTCTGTGAGGAATCACTTATGTTACAGATTTACAAAAGCATTAGATAAATGACCCTCAGGTTTAGCCATAGTTGATTCTTTCCTCAGTAAAGTCCATTACAGGCTTGTTTCCTAAAATCTTAAATTCTGCATGGAAGCAGATGAACTAACATTTGTAGACAAATTTCATAGACTCTACTGTAATTCAGTTTAAAATCCATGTATAACTTTAGTCTAAGGCAGGTCAAACAATGTCTCCATGCTTGACTGTCACTAATTTTGGAAAGAACTGGATTACAATTTAAATATAAAATTTCCAGAAACTTTGAATATATTTATTCACAGAGTTAATCTATGACTCTCTACATTCCTTATTTAGTCACCCATAAATCTATCAGAGTTTCAGCTTTCAAAATGAAATGAAGTCTGGAAGTAAGAAAATACAGAGAAGGCACTAAAGTCTGAAATAAACACAGGGAGTCAAAATAATACTGCAAGGGAGATTTTTGTTGGGATGACACTGTTTTTTGTGTCTGCGTGTTTGCATATGTGTATGTGTGTATAAACACATTTCTGCATGAATAAAATGACCAGATTGGAAAAGTAACAAGCTATTAGATTGGAAAAGTAACAAGCTATTATATTGAATTACTTTTTACATAAATTATGTAGTGAAGGATTTAAAATACCCCCACTTCTTGAGTAATGAAAAAATTGATCCATATGGAGGTCTCTACATTTGCCATCTAAGACTGTATTCAACAGCATCAGTTATCATTTATGAGGAATGCTTAAAGTATTAAGACTAATGAATGGCATGTTGAAGGAAAGTTTGAGTGGCCTACTCATACAAGTTTAGTTACACCAAGAACTGAATGATGAGGAGCCCTAGTTGTAACTGTATTCATCTATCTAAATTGTCGTAACTATTTCCTTACAGGTACTGGGAGGCTTAAGTTAGCTGTCTCTCAGAAATGATCTGAGATACTAAAAGAACAAGGTGCTATTCTTTTTACATAAATTTACAGAATTAATACCTATACTAGAAAGGAACAATGTAAATGATCAACAAAAGGGAGTTGCTTTTTAAGTGCAGCAAGACCACCATTTTTCCGCCAGTGGAAAAACTGAGAAGTAAGAGGTACTAAAGGATGTATTGTCAAGAGTGGTAAAGGAAGACGGACTACAATTAACCAAGATGGAACACGGCCAAGATAGGGGCCCAGCAAGCTCAAGTGGTCACAGCCACTAAGTACCACTCCACTCCCATGGGAGCCCCACCCAAGGCAAATTTTTGTCAGGGCCAAATGACCGGCACAGCTTCCTGGAGCAGTTGACGTCTCTCAGTCTAAGCAGAGGTTCAGATCCGTGACGCTTTATACAAGAGATCTGGTGAGATTGGAAGGTTACTGCTGCAAGCCATTTTCAAGTGCTTATCAGGAAAATGCAAAATGACTAAATGCATATAGCTTGGGGGGAATGAGGCTATTAATAGAGCCACTGCCAACTGATAAGAGAGATACGAAGACCGTAGAGAGAAGGATTGTTCTGAAGCCAAAGAAAAACATATCTAAGAGTGAGGGAGGGAATCCACCATGGTGACTTAAACTGAATACCAGAAAAATCTGTCTCAACATCCAGATCTAAATTTTGGAAAAGAACCGGGCCTTTGCTTAGACAACTGCACTAAGATGAACTGGCCACATGCTTCAAGGTGGTCACCAAAGAGGAAAAAAAGGACTGACAAATATTGTCTCTCTCCCCTAATTCTCTGCAAAATAATTTTCACACTTGAAATCAATACGGTGAGGTCACTCCATGCCCTTTAATTGGCCATTGATCTTTATAAATACGGTATTTGTGTCATATACTGAGTATTGCAGAGTAGCTACTGAAAGGACACCTAGTGGTAAGTAAACAAGTTTGTCTAGAGACCACTGAGACTGTTCAAGGTGTGTAATTATAATTGTCATGGGAATTGCTGAACTGTTACACGTTGAACCTGCAATGTCATATATGAACTTCTGTGCCAAATAGCACTGTTCATGGTTTTTAAAAAATGGCAGACAGCATTCTTAAATGCGCTTTTTAAGAACATGCAATTTAAGCTTAAATTCTTCAAAACTCACAAGAACAGTCTTTTAAACAAAAGATGCATGTGCCTGTGTGTCACGGATTAAAAATTTCCATGTCATGAATCTCCACTGCATCAATTTTAGGAATATCAGGTAGCTGAACAGAGCTCATTACAGATATGTTTTGTGTGATATTCAAGCCAAATTTCAGCCATCATTCCTTGGATCCTCTATTGTGCCACTCTAAAATATCCTAAGCAATTCCTTCCCTGCTCGTCTTTCTCTCCTATGAAGACAAGCAGCTGAAGCATGCAAGCTGCACACATTAGAGTTAATTTCACTCTTTTTTTTTGTCCATTCAACTTTATAGTCACTTGCCTGTGTTTATTCCACACCCCTTAATATGTACTAATGCCCTTGTGACCAGGAGATGCCCACAACAGAAAGCTGTATTCCAGATGGAGTCATGCTGGTCTCATGCAGAGAGGGATTATAACCTTCCTGTGTAGTGACATGCTGCCTCTGGGCGAACAGACCAAAATCCACACTTGGGTTTCTTGTTTATGTCAACATATCGTATTACAAGCATAGAACAATTTGCTGACCACTGTCCCTCTTCGATTATTGTTTTTATGTTCTCTTTTCCAGGTTTCTCTCTTCTATTGAGCACCAGTTCCTTTGGATTAATTTTCCCTGAGTGAATTAGTACGGATTTGCTAGGTCAGTTTTTCCAGATACATTTTATTTATCCAATTTTATAACATCTCTGTGTGCCACTGGTCTGTTCTCTATCCTCACAGTGTTTATAACAGCTCACAACTTAGTACTATCCTTTGATTTAAAAAGCCACAAACAAGCCATTTCTGCTCTTCTGTCCTCTTTCATCACAACAAAGATCAAAACATTGGGATGGATATTTTTTGTTTCCTTCTTTTAGGTGGCTCCCTACCAAAGATTTTGTTTAAAAAAACTCGGATTTTGCCTTATTTCTCCACAGCTACAAGGAAGCAGATCATGACGTGCCATGAAGCTGAAGCTGCAGCTCCTGCTTTTACCCGAAAGTTAGCACCCCGTTCCTCACCCAGCTCTGTTTCCAGGGCTCACCTCTCCTCCACTCCACCCTTGTGAAGCTCCAGCCTGCTCTCTTGTCTTAAAATGGCATGTAGTTTCCTTCCTTTACTATAAACAATGCTTTCTGTAACCTTAGTTTCATGATGTAAACATTTAAAAATAAGAATGAAGGCAACACAAACTATGTGTTCAGTTAGGTAATTTGGGGATTAAATTAAATGAAATCTCTCGAAACATGGAACATTTCAGAGTACTGAAGTCTGGTTTTACTTGTTTTCTTTTTATCCCATCCCTTTTAAAGAAAAGGAGACAATGGATCTTAGAAACTCTGGCAGAAGAGCAGTAAAGGCAGCCGAAGATGACTTACTCCTTGTGAATCCATGAGAAACGAAAGTCAAGCTCAGAGAAAGGGGCCGTAAGACTCAGGTATGTGTGTTCAAGGGGAAAGAGGGGCACTCGGTAAACTGCAGGATGCTGGAGGCTGGGCAACCAGCTGCCACAGTTGACATGGGAGGCTCCTGTTATCAGTAATGTCACCATCTCTAATCTGATGTCAGCTTGTAAATGCCCTGCAGCCTGCCAAAGCCTCTTCAAACTGGCATTTCTTTTGTAATAAAATATACTTAAAAAGCAAGAAACCAACCAACAGATAGTATTCTCCAGTCAAAACCAAAAAAATATAAGGCTCCCTTGCATACACTGTGCATAATAAGGAGTAGTAATAGGAAGGAGTAGTAAAGAGTAGCAAAGGAAAAATAATGTGCATAAAAAAAATACTTCTGTTTTTCTCTGCAGTCCACCTATGAGTTTTGGCCAATTACACTCCTTTAAATAGCCTTTTTTTTTTTTGACAGTTACAGAGAGGATTTTCTTTGCTAAATCCCTATTCCAGATTTTCCTCTTGTGAACTTTTCAGCAACAGAAGAAACTAAAAATGTCTGCAAATTTGAAAGAATTCTTATTATGTACATCTGAACATGCACATTTGGCTTTCATTGTGTGGTGTGCCAGGCAGCTACAAAAACAAAGCGTAGCCTAGTACAGCTTTACTCAACACTTTAACCTTTGGATCTCACTTATTCTGAAAGAAAGTGATCTTTTTGGCCTTTCAAGCAAGCCCATTTCCTCTTGGCACACAGCACACACAGGTAATACAGTAGTTGCTTGACTTTCACACCGTATTTAAACAGACATTGTGAACATGTGCGATAATAGCTTCAAAAAGGGAGTTCAAAGTATCTACAGGTATTACATCTGCCCCAAGCCTCTTTGCCGGTTTAGGGATTTTACCATCACATTTTCCTTTTTCCTAAAGCCTGCTAAGGGAGCGTGGGGGTTATCTAATTATTTGGTGAAAAACACACAAACAGCATAGGAGGAAATGCACAAAATTTCCAACGTAACATCCCATGCACCAAATAAGTTCAATAATAGTTTTTTTTTCCTTCCTTTATCAATATAATAATACTTGATAATTTTATTCCATTTATTAATTAGTGCAAAGCAGCAATAAATTAGAGGGAGAATTTTAATCGCATATTGATACTTTAAAGACACCTACCTTGAAAGAAACTTTTGACTCGGAGATAGCTGACACTAAGGCGCAAGACGGAAAGTTTGTCCAGCTTTGATATGATGTCAGGTGGAAAAGGCAGGAGGCTGGCCAGGTGGTCCAGTTCCGCATTCAGACGGTCCCTGTGTCTCTTCGAAGGATTTGATTTTTCATTCCCAACTGCAGGCCTTCTGTGGTGGAGAACACATTTTCGATTACCTGTTTTACCTCCAGATAGTACAACCAGAGACTGAGATGTTGTCTGCAATTAGTTGGTAACAGGCATATTTAGCCTAGCTTCTGTGAAAATCTTTAAAGTTTCTATTCCCTGCCAAAAAGAGATTTACCATTCTGCATTTGCCATAGTGCAAAGACATGGGCATTGAGCTCTCTTTTCACATCTGCCCAGTGAAAAACACACGAAGAACTGATATCTCTTACTCAGGACCCTCTCCCCTTAGGGAAACGGGTACTATCCTCATGTTCTAGTGAATACCAGGAAAAACAATTTCTCATCTATGTTGTACAAATGAGGGTCAGAACAGCAGAGGAAAATTACCATGACTAATGCATGAACCCATTCAATACCCACTGTATTCATTCAAAGCATCTTGGTTCCCTCCATTTAATGACTCAAAGTTAACCTGTGGGTCAGGAGATAATTAAGAAAAAAGCCTGTCTTTAGACATGATTTTAAAAAGTACGGGAAGCAAGGTGAAAAGACGTTCTTTCCTCAAGCTCAAAAACCCTGGGAACATTCTCATATTTACCTTCCTACATCAGTAATAACAAAGATAAGAATTTGATTTCTCTCTTAAGAACATTGATATTCCTCCCAAAACATAAAGACTAATGTTACTCAGATTTCTAAGACAAGCACTCCTAGTCCATCCCCATTTCATGTCCCTCTCATGTAGTGGACAGGACCAGATACCTCAGAAAAGCTACTGTGAAAATGCATTAAGATGAAATACATCACAAATGAGGAAGCTCAGTTTTGTGGTGTCGTCTTCTCACAGAACACGTAAGATGCTGTTCTCAAGAGGGAGAAAAGGAAAAGCTGGTGCACTTGCACACAGTCATGGAATCTGATTTTTAGCACAACAACGGTGGGTGGTCAGTGCTGAAGCACAGACTCGTCAATTAAGCAATTACCACTTACCTGAGTGGTAAGTTTGAGAAGGTTATCTCCAGCAGAGAGCCATTGCTGGACCCAGCAGTAGTCAAATGTGTTATCCAGGAATGAGCCACATGTCACTGGAGCCATAAACTACATGGATCCATGATCTCAGAGGGAGTGCAGCAGCCCAGTGCTATAGATGAGCTAACATCTCCCAGGGGACTTAGTGCTGTGTCTGCTGACCCTCCATTTGTAATCATAGAATCATAAAATAGTTTGGGTTAGAAGGGACCTTTCATCTAGTCCAACCCCCTGCAATAAGCACGGACATCTTCAACTAGGTCAGATTGCTCAGAGCCCCGTCCAACTTGACCTTGAATGTTTCCAGGGATGGGGCATCTACCACCCCTCTGGGCAACCTGATCCAGTGTTTCATGACCCCCAGCATAAAAAATGTCTTCCTTGTATCTAGTCTAAATCTTCCCTCTTTTAGTTTAAAGCCATTTAAGATGGTACTGGGACCTGGACTATTCAACATCTTTGTCATGGACATGGACAGTGGGGTCGAGTGCACTCTCAGCAAACTTGCTGATGATACCAAGCTGTTTGGTGAGGTAGACACACTGGAGGGGAGGGATGCCATCCAGAGGGACCTGGACAGGCTGGAGAGGTGGGCCCAAGCCAACCTCATGCAGTTCAACAAGGCCAAGTGCAAGGTCCTACAGCTGGGTCAGGGCAATCCCAAGCACAAATACAGGCTGGGCGGGGAATGGCTGGAGAGTAGCCCTGAGGAGAAGGACCTGGGTGTGCTGATTGACGAGAAGCTCAGCATGAGCCAGCAATGTGCAAGCACAGCCCAGACGGCCAACTGTATCCAAAGAAGTGTGGCCAGTGGGTCAAAGGAGGTGATTCTACCCCTCTACTCCACTCTCATGAAACCCCACCTGGAGTACTGCATCCAGCTCTGGAGCCCCCAAAATAAGAAGGACATGGACCTGCTGGACAGGACCTCTGTCATCCTCCTTAAAGTAGTCTTCTCTTCAGAGGCTGCAGGGTGGTTATTCTAGCATCAAGGTGCCTGCTCACTTGTCTGTTTTCTAAAGCAGCATCAAGAGCTTAGAAGGTGTGGGTAGGTCCAGCAATGAAAATGACAGTTAGCACTTAGAAAATTTTAAGGTTGGTCTTTGTCTCAGGTGAAGGCAAATGAAGAGGGTAACCAAAACCTTGAACAGGTAAAATGAAACACAGACAGTAGGAAAAATTAAGACACTAGAAGTATCTGTGTGGCTTGGGAAAATTCAAGCTAATATGTGTAATTGAGCAACCTCGTCTTGTGGGAGTTGCCCCTGCCTATGGCAGGGAGGTTGGAACTCGATGATCTTCAAGGTCCTTTCCAACCTAAACCGTTCTATGATTCTATAATTACTCCTTGTCCTATTGCAACAGGCCCTGCTACCAAGTTTGTCCCCATCTTTCCTGTAGGCCCCCTTTAAGTACTGAAAGGCCACAATAAGGTCTCCCCAGAGCCTTCTCTTCTCCAGGCTGAACAACCCCAACTCTCTCAGCCTGTCTTCATAGGAGAGGTGCTCCAGCCCTCTGATCATTTTTGTGGCCCTCCTCTGGAACCACACCTACATGTCCATATCTCTCCCATGCTGAGGGCTCCAGAGCTCGACACGGTACTCCAGGCAGGGTCTCACCAGAGCAGAGTAGAGCGGCAGAATCACCTCCCTCAACCTGCTGGCCACGCTTCTTTGGATGCAGCCTAGGGTATGGTTGGCTTTCTGGGCTGCAAGCACACACAGTCAGCTCACATCCAGCTTTTCATCCACCAGTACCCCCAAGTCCTTCTTGGTAGGGCTGCTCTCAATCCCTTCATCCCCCAGCCTGTATTGACACCACGGGTTGCCTCAACCCAGGTGCAGGACCCTGCACTTGACCTTGTTGAACCTCATGAGGTTCACATGGGCCTACTTCTTGAGCTTGTCCAGGTCCCTCTGCATGGCATCCCATCCCTCAGGTGTGTCAACCACACCACTCAGCTTGGTGTCATCCACAAACTTGCTGAGGGTGCACTCGATCCCACTGGCTATGTCATTGATGAAGATATTGAACAGTACTGGTCCCACTGTGGACCCCTGAGGGACACCACTTGTCACCAATCTCCATCTGGACATTGAGCCATTGACCACTACACTCTGGATGTGACCATCCAACCAGTTCCTCATCCACCGCACAGTCCACCCATCAAATCCATGTCTCTCCAATTTAGAGAGAAGGATGTTGTGGGGAACAGTGTCAAAGGCCTTACAGAAATCCAGATAGATGACATCCATAGCTCTTCCCTTGTCTGCTGATGTAGTCACTCCATCATAGAAGGCCAGGAAGGCCATAGAAGGGCAGGGGTTGCACTTGGTGAAGCCATGCTGGCTGTCTTGAATCCCCTCCTTGTCCTCCATGTGCCCTAGCATAGCTTCAAGGAGGATCTGTTCCATGATCTTCCCAGGCACAGAGGTGAGGCTGACAGGTCAATAGTTCCAAGGGTCCCTTCTACCCTTTTTAAAAATGTGTGCAATGTCCATGTTCAAGTTCTTACTGTAGCACATTGCCACATTCCTCCTGATGCACTTTCTCCAGAATAAGAGACATTGAGAGAAAAACCAAGGAGGCAAAGATGGAAAAATACTCAAGAGTTGGAAATAGTAGGCAAGGAAAATACAGCTGTGCTAACAGTTTCCACTTCCACCTCACTAAAGGCAAAGATCATAACCTTATGTAGCTTAGCTGGTGCTCCAGTGGAGAATCAGAGTAAAACTATTTATTTGTAGCACTTTACTACTGCATTTCCACACTCCACACATTTACTATATTTTTCAATCATAATTTTAATTTTGAGTACATATTGGGCACTAATTTTTTTGGAGTAAACCCTGAAGCTCAGTCATCTTCACTATGACACCAAAAGGATGTCTGACCTGTGGAGAGCAGTAATTTTGTGGCAATATGCCTATAGTTGAGTAGAGGCTAAGGAACATAAGCTTTTACTAATTGCTTTTTACATCTGACAGACCAGCCGAAGCAAGGAAGCAATTTAGGACAGAAAAAAATTAATTCCAATGAGGAAAATTAGACTGATGAGTTCAAGGGGTAAAAATTGTCAAGACTAACATGCAATAGAAACAGAAATTGTTCAAGCCTATTTGCCGCACAAAATAGTGAGTGCTCTGTGCCAGAGAGGTATGGTTTGAGGCAATTATGCGGACTGCATTTGTACTGAGCATAAGGAACAGTTTTCTGGAGATTGCAGGGAATGGTGTAAAAAGACTACAGGAGAAAGCTGAGGACAGAGTCTTCCTGAAAACTCAAGGAAATGATTCAGTAAGGGAGCGAATCCAAACAAACAGGGGTTTGATGTAAATGGTAATTAGGTGCCAAGTGGATGCGATTTAAAACAATGCAAGTTCCATGGAAAAGCTAGCTTAGCTATCCATAAACAGAAAAGGACAGGCAGGGAAATTCTTCAATGAGCTGTTTTGAGGCAAGTGGAAAGTCTAACCCTTATTTTGAGTTGAAAGTAGAAGGTGCTTGTTATGTTTGTTTTAAAACAGGGATTCTCAAACTATGTAAATCAGGTCTAAGCAGAGCCATAGCACTCACTCTATGATACCTTTTTTACTCTGCTTTTCATGCAATGCTACTACAATAAAGTAGCACATGTAATTAAAACAATAAAGTTGGCATTTCCTTCTTTGCATTGTTAAACAACCCAAATTCTGCTCTGCAGTAACAAGTGCTTGTACCTATACAAGACCCACATCACCAGTCCCAGTTTGGTAGGAACTGCTTGTGTGAGCTGGTGCAGAGAACATTTTCTGTTTCGGTGGTACGTAAGGCATCGAGCCATTTGCGCTTTAATGATTCAGTGTGCCCAAGACACACAGACTGCCACTAGTGTAAACCAGTTTGGTGAGCTCGCAGAGGAATTTCCTGCAGCTACAGCTCTGTCTGCTGTTCGCTACCCTCTGAGGGAACCCTATCCTGTTAACGAAAAGTTCACTCTGAATCAAGTTTTTAAAGTATGCTGAAGAGTTAAACCAGCAGATGATCCAAACTGAGAAAAATCTAATCATTTACTATGACGGCAAGCTTTCAGTAAGAAGGGAAAGGGAAGAGAGAGAGACTGTGAGATGCAACAGATAGGCTAAATGCAAAGTAACAGCAAGATGATTATCGTGAACGTACTGACCAGCACCCGCAGCCACCGAGCTGTGCTTGGGCATTGCATGGGCTTCCTGGCAGAGCTGAGCTCCCGTGCCAGCTGTGTATGTGCAGATGTTCACCATCTCCTACGAGTGAAAAGGACTGAATGAGAGAAAGCTGTTTGAGGGAAAGGGGGCTCTTTTCCAACTTCTATCTCTTCTGGGTCTTCATAGCAAGGAAAGGAGGAAGCAGAACTGTCGGTCAAGAAGACATCAAATTGGCAGAGCAGATGAGAGGTAGGATAGTGTGATAACAAGTAAGAGGAAGGGCTATGCCACAGAGGGCTTTAAAATGAGAACTAAGAAGCACCTGGCACTGGTACGGTTCTGGCTGAAGTGGGCACTTTGGAGCAGTTATAGATACACTCAGAGCTAGGACAGCTGTAGCTTGCCTTTAAAGAGCTGTAAAACATTACAAGATACGTTTTGTGGAGGGAGAAAGTTTTACAAGATGCCAGGGTTTGAGATGAAGAAGTGGCTGAAGCTCTGAAATTATAACTGTCCTGAAGCATTGCCTTAGCATTTCTAGTATAAGTATTGGTTTCAGCGCAGTGATTTTAGTTTGAGGTTAAAAACAAGATCTTTTTAGGTTTCAAATGCTCGAATTACTAGTAAAATGTCAGATTTCCACAGGAAGCAAACACTTGGTAGAAAGTATTTCCTTTAGTCAAAACTCCATTTCTCTGGAAGAAAAGCATATCTGATGGAAAATTTTCAGTCAGTCTGAGCTCCAGGTGTTTGAACTGAGTCCATAAAAGCCAAAATTCTTTAGTGTAGACCACATCTAATAGGGCTTGTTAAGAAGCTTTCTGGGGCAAAAGAACAGCTAGAGTTTACTATTTGCATGTATGAAAGTAGAACCTGAACCTGATGTATTGTCTGAAGAATGGCAACCTAATGAAGATAGTCTGTCCTAGTGCTGTGTAGAGAAGACTGAAACATATTAGCTTCTCCTGGTAAAATAAGTTTTCCACACATTCTCCCACTGTCTTGTGGGTCTCTGCATTCTCCTGTGAAGCTTCTTCATACATTTTCATCATTATTCTGTAAAGCTACCTCAGAATAGAATGTCTGTGTCCAAAAAAACCATGAACATAATAAGCAATATCATCCTGTTATATCCTGGATTAAAAGCCAGCTGCAGGATCACAACCTGGCTTGACAACTTAATCACAAAAAGCTGACGGAGAGACAGAGCGTTGGCCTCCTGGGATGCACTGAGTATGGGCAGGCGTGAACGTCCCAGTTGTTCTGCAGAGGGGAAAGCTGCACCTCTGTCCTTTAAATCCTGACTTTCAAAAGGACTCATCCATGAATGCATACAGAAATCCAAGTGTCCTGCTCAGACTGGCACCTGAGCTCACTTACTCCTTTGTAAAGAGAAAGTTAAATTCTAGAGGCTATTAATGTTAAAAAGAGAGGAATCATCACTAGGACTGGCAAAAGAATTCCTATCAACTTTTTTTTTCTGTGAAAAGTTGGGTTTTTCAGCTGAACAAATACCCCTCCCTGCTCCTCCCAGAACAGGTGGCAGTATCTGCAATGATTCATTACCAGAATGACAGGGGCAAAAGTAGAACAAAGCTGTGAAGGAAGATGTGCTATGCTATCAAACAAGAGAAAAAAGCTATAACAAAAACGGTACAACATGGATCAAAATCATGGTTAAATATACTCTTCGATGAATTGTCTTTGTCTACCCTTCTAAATTCGCCATAAATTATTTGAGGCAGCATAACAGTAAGGATGCCTTGGAGTCCTGAAGTGTCAGTAAGATCTGTAGGACTGAAACTCACTCTCTTTAAATGAGAGTTAGGAAGTCTCTGAGTGAGGGAATAAGCACAGGAAAGGCTTACTAGAGACCAAGCCCACAAACAGATAAGGTCTGAGGAAGAGACCAGTGTTGCTAGCAACTGAGAAGTCATCCTCAGCAAGCAATAAGTAACTGATCACAAAAAAAAACAGAGAGCTGTCTCCAGTGTGGGAGCTCAGTATTCTAATAATCCAAATTATTCCATTTGTTTTAACCAAAAACAAGTTTCTTAATCAAAATTGTCTATGTCCTGGCTGGATAAGCTCATGCTCAGGTACCTCCACTGTAATCTCATAGCAAAGCTATTTTCAAGGTAGCATTACTCACAGTGGCTCCCAAGGTGAAAAGTTGGTTCCATCCAAGTAAGTGAGAATTTGCTTCCGATTTTGTTGAAGCCAGAACTTCAACAAAGGCTAATGAGGACATTTCCATCCTTTGTTAGCAGGTAGTTTTCTTAACCATCGCATTTATCTAGAAGTCATCTTTGAAAGAAGTTCTTCTAGCTATCATATATTCTCCAAACATGAAGCTTAATGTTTCTCAAAGCATCTCCAACTCTCCTTCCTTTCTCACAAAAGTTATGATCCATAAACAGTTCTGCAGAGAGGTAATTTCACGTCCTGGAGCGGTTCCATACCTCATGCAGTTACAAAGTTAAATATCCACATCCATACTTGAACGGTAGTGCAGAAGTGTTACATACATTTTGAATTTAACACTCAGGTTTTGCAGGAAGAATAATTTTCCTATGTCATCATATTTGCCTATTGAAATTGTCACCTGTGATATATTTTACACTACAAGAAATATATTTTTAAGTGGGAACAAGTGGTTCATGTGCAAATACTCTCCAAAATCCAAACAAAATGAACAGATTTCACTCAAACATTCAGAGAAACTCCCCTTTGAGTTTAGACCAATATATACCATTTTAAGCCAAGTGAGTTAATTTTAGAAGTTCTGAACAACTGAAAGTAGGGAAATCTATTTTAGTTACCATCTCATCCTTAAGTTGTCTGTGAAGGCCACCAGTGCTAGTTCATAATTTTAACACAGTAAAAATGTGTGTTTCATAACCATATAACCAAGTGTAACACAGAAGATGTGGGATGATTATATTAAAAAGCTTCATTTCACAGAGTGGTTTGTGGCATCTGGAAATCATTTTACATTTGAGTGATAGCAACCTTTTTTCCCTCCCATTTCAAGCATCTTGTAGTAACAACTTCCCATGTTTTTTTTTCTTTTTCTGCTTTGCCTTCACACACACAATTCCTCTCTCCCATTTTTCTTCTAACGAAAGTGATCCCATAGTAAATAGTGGTTCGAAAATGATGTGTTCTTTATGCAAAAAGTGAGTCACCAGCCTGCTTTTTCACTTGGCTGAACTGACCTACTTTCCAGGGTCACACATGTTGGACTTAGCCATGCCCCAAGCAAGGCTAAGCCAAGGAAGGGGGAAGGGGGGAGTGCAATGCCAGCGCACTGGTGCCAATTGACACACAGCTTCCCAAAAGGCTCCTTCAACAGGCGTCGGGGAACACAGAAGTGTAGAGGTGGCAGCCACCCCTCCAGCCCATTGCCCAGCTGACATTTGGTCCACCAGTGTCTTCTGCCTAAGAAAAAGTACTGTCCCTCTCCACTCCTCACAGCAACATATTCTGTACTATGCCATGGTATGCACCACAGCCACCACTGGCCTCCTCCTGGGACACCTGGTGATGGGTAAGGCTGGTTTGACCCATGCGTGGCATCCTTTTTCGAGACGGTCTTATCCAAGAAGAGCCAGCCCTGCAACCAGGGTTTTCTCACTTCAGAGAAAGAGATTAGGTCTCTCCTGTGTCAGCGGACCATGGGAGGAAAGGAGTCCTTCTACCTCATTTCTAACACATACATTCAGAGGGAGATGCCTCCTGATGAATATGATACTTAACTGTTTCTGAATGGGTTTCCTCCTTTTCCTCCCAGCATATAGGCATTCCCCCGGAGGAATCATTGTTTTGATGCTGAAAAACACAAGAAATAGATTTCTTAGTTCAGAGGTTTCTGTGTTTCATACCGTTGTACAAAATGACAACACCGAGAAAGTTCAACCGAGGAAAATGTTTGTTCCTTGAGTGTGGCATTCAACAACACTAAAAAGCACAGTGGCAGTAGTTAAGATAGAAGCTTAAAGCTTATTCCAATTTCCTACCTTAATATTATTAGAATATTGATGTTTATATTCAATTTTCATTTTTTCAAATTAAGCATAATATACATGGTATAAAAATGGGTATAAAATATATCCTGTTTACTTGATATCCAAAATTAATTTTTTTTTCCTTCCAGGCTCATTTTTAAATTCAGCTAAACAAATAAGAATGAATAATACTACCCATCATCTTCTGTAGGAGGATTTCACAGCTTTTTAAATACACAGGAATATTGTCTTACATTACTGACACTGTGATAAATAGGATGCGATTATTAAAATCAGCATTTTTCCAGGTCCTCACATCCTCATTTTCACAAAATGAAAGTATATCTGTCGGCAGTTCCAGAACTGACACACAGTATTGTGGTTAGCATTAGGATCCAGTGCAGTGCTGATGGAGGTGACAATTTTCAGACAAAACTTAACCTTATTATCGCTCTGTTTGAGCCTTAGAGACATTGAAAGCTCTGAAACAAGTCTTCGCGTTCAGTCTGTTTAAATCTTCTGATGATTAGTCGCATAGAAAAGTCTCTCGACTTTCTGTCTGAAAGACAACTTTAGTCTTGCTGTGTGCTGTTCCACAGTGGGTCCACGCTGCCCAAGAGGTTACTATATCTCAAGAGTATTTCATGTTTTATATAAGATGTAAAATTAAGAGGACCTTCTATGTCACTGATCAATCCCATGCTTCTGAAGACACCTATATCATATAATACAAATCATAAACTTACTGAACTTCATCTAAAACTGTTTAGAGGAGCTTTGCTTTTCATTGAAAGACAGCTTTCTGATAACTAGAAACCTTTTGCTTTCCAGATTAAATTTGTTCATGGTCATTTTATGCCCATTTGTTCTTCTGCCAACATTGTCTTTAGTTTAAATAGCTCTTCCTCCTCCATTGTGTTTATTTATTGGTGTATTTTTAAATATCAGTCATATCTTCAGTCAGCCTTCATTTTTCTATTCTAGGACAACCCAAACTCATTTATTCCCCTCTCATGTTACAAATTCTTCATTCTTCCCATCATTTTAGGAGCCTTTTCTACCTCATTTCAATCAATCAGTCTAAAACATGGATAAACATAATCATGCACAGCATATTAAGTGAAATCTAAAAGTATTTCATACATGCATATATATACTTATGTATTGACAAACCATTAATTCTTTATGGGAATTATCTCACTTGGTATTTGTGTGAGTGCATTTTCATTTTTCATAGCCATTATCAAATTTATGGCTCACAGTCATCCTGTGGTCACCTAATATGCACAGTTCTCTGTCTTCATGTATAACTTACAATAAATAAATTCACAGTTTATGGAAAAAAATCTAACTTTTCTTGCCCAAGTGCCTGGCCATCCCATTCATACAATTAATCTCTAGTTCATTTTTGTTACGTAAGAACTGTATCCTCTTCTGTATTGATGGCACAAGCAACTAAGTTTATTGCTACACTCTTGCTACACTCGGTTTTGTGTGAAATTTCTTAGCAAAAATATGTTTGTCTCCAAACTGATAGTTCAGGAACTCTGCTTATAGCTTCCCTCCTGATCAGTCATTTTAATTTCAGCAGGTACTGTTGACCCAGTTCCTTCCCCCAAGATGTCAGTTCTTTAGTAGTCCTCAGAAGCACAGCATCCTTCACTAAATTCAGATAGATTAGGTCTACCATATTTCCCTGACCTGGAAAATCAGTTATTGCATCAATAGGAAGCTCTCAGGTTACTTTGTCAATATCTTCTAAAGCTACATTCTGTTTTTATTCTACTACACAACTAACCACAGCCATTAATTGCTCTTTCATTGAGAATTCATTCTAAAATGATGCGTAGTACAGAGATCAGACAAATAGGTCAGTAGTTGCCTTCTCTCAGTTGTAGCTGATGGTGCGAACACCAGTCATTCTTCAATTGATGCAGTTTCAGGTATAGGGTTCTTCCAGAAATAAACAAAACCCTTTTTTTCCACTACTACCGGGACAATTTCATGTGACATTGGATGGGTGAACTGCCTGGCCAAAATCTATGAGGGATAGTCTACAGTGCAACAAATGCTGCTCCCGGTTTAGAAAGTTTGTTTATCCCACAGCGTTTGCTTAGATAAAGCCTTCTTGCCACATTCAAAGACCTTGTTATGTTAGACTAGTCTCAAGCTCATTTTTTGCAAGAGTCTGCCAGTTGTTAAGATTTCTGCTACCCTGGTGGGTTTTCTGCTCCAGTGGGAAGTTGAAATGGTGTGAAGAAGCCCAAAGAATGGCCACAGTTTCTTGTGACATCTTACATTAAAAGATATTTTCTTTATATCATAATACTTTTGTGTTCTGAGTCCTTCCCGTCCATAATACAAATCTATGACTCATAGTTCATGTTTCAAAACAGTGTCACATGCTAGACTTCCCTTCTCTTGCCTTCATGAGCAAAATTACAAGGAGGAGAAAGACTTGGACAGCATAATTCAACTGAAAACTGAAAGTTAAGAGTTCATTCAATTTCCCAAAAGGACTACTTTGTTTTAAAACCCATTCTAGTTCAGTTGATTAATATGTGACAGCAAATAGAAATAAATTAAAAGACCAGTATTCAAACAACTGAAAACCAGGAAATAAATAACAAACAATATGAACTAGAATTTATGAAGTGTAAAATTCTGGTTAAGAAAGATAAAGGCCCAAAGGAAAATTCACAAGTTGCAGCGCTAAAGAGAAAAGATAGTGTGCTTTTGGAAGAATATTATGAACAAAAGAAGGCTAAAAAGTGTGTAGAGTGCTTATTAGATGGAGATGGCTTTATGTTAGAACTGCATAAAAGGTAAGAGTGTTCAACAGATTTATTTCTAGTCTCTGAAAAGAAGGAGAATCACGCACTTGCATCAAATAAGAATAAACCATGCACTCTTCAGGCTTTTTACAGGAACTTTCTACAGAATTAGGACAAGGGGTTACCACAGCAACATGGTATGAAGCACTACCTCAGCAACTGAACACTAACGTCCTAGATATGCGTACAGCCAAGAGGTGCTTCTGGTACTACCACTAATGTCAATAGTGGCATGCAGATAAAATGAGTCTGAGAATGAATGAACGGGAATAAAAACCAAGTCAGAAGGCTCATGGCTAGTGGTTCTAAAAATATGGCTGAAAACAGCACTTGAAGTTGTTGAGCTGCACAGAACCATCAACCAAGAAAACATTGCTTTTAAAAAATTGAGAAGACCACATATTCATGGTCCTGCCTGGACCATGCCCTCTTCTGATCGTCTCTGAGCGCTGCTCTCCACCGCTGGGACAGAACAGCCCATCTCCACCACTGCAGGAGGTCAGGGGCTCCTTCCCCTATCAGCCCACCATCCTCTTGTGTGAATGAGAAACAGGAAGAAGTTGGGAGGACAGCACTCAGTTGCTCTGAACAATTGTGCTCTTTCTTCTTTTTCTTTCTATTTCTGTCTTTAACACTTTAGAGTCCTCACGTGCTGTCCCCCTGTTTGAGGGGGGATGAAGACGAACCCAAAGCAGCAACCTTCCGCCCCTCCAGCAGCAGGAGAGGGGGCTCACAAGCTTGAGGACCTTCAGGAGGACGAGAGTTCGGACTGAAAGGAACTGGGAAAGAATTGCTGGGAAAGGGCAGATGTGGGCCATGATCATTCACTTTCTTATGTCAGATGCTTTTAATCACTGCTGACATTAAGTTGTAATGAATCTCTGAACACTGGGGAAATCCAAAGGACTGAAAGACAGCTGCTTTATGACAATCTTCAGAGAAGGGAGACATCATGATCCAGCTAACCACCGGATGGTGAGACTGACACCCATTTCAAGCAAAATACCAGAAAAGCTGATAAGAAAGACGAATGACATCACTTAGCAGAATTCTATGGAATATCATGCTCTTTGGAGTGAAACCTAATCATGGAGAGGTTATCACCTCCACCTGATAAAGGAATTCACTTGTATTAGTAAATCATTTAACTTAGCTGCACAACATTCTGATTTTTAAAAGACACAATGAAGTATTATAGTGCATAGTTTCCGTAAGTCAAGAATTGGTCAAGTGACAGATCAAAAAAAAAAAACCAAACTGCTAAACAGAGAGGTCTTTATAAAGATTTTACAGGCATGGAGGTTCAATACAAAGCCATTGGTGATAATATTTGCAAAATCATAAAAATGTAGAAGAGTGGTAAATAATGCAGAAGCCATAGTGAAATAGAGCAATCTGGAGTGTCCAGTAGGCTGTTTCTGTTTATCCACAATGCATCTTAATACAGCCAAATGCAAACACTCACATCTCAGAATAGGGAATGGGGACTGCATCCTGAAATGCCAGTGATTCTTGAAAGGAATTAGGGATGAAAGTAAAAACTGAATACAATCCATACCCTGAGCTCCCAGGGAGAAGCTGCTGCAAAGGCAGCTAATGCAGTTGCTGACCTAAGTGAAGTGATTTTACCTCTGTTTACAGATATGATGAGGCTGATGCTGGAACAGTGTGTACAGTTCCCATGTAAGTGTTTTTCAAAAAATGCTAGAAATTGGAAAGGGAAAGGAAAAAAACTAAAAAAAGTCCTCGCAGGCTGAAGAAACTGCCTTGTATAGAAAAAATAATTAGGCGACTTGAGTAAAGTGAAGTACTTTCATGGGGAAGATATTGGCACTTAATTATTTTAATCTGAATCATAGTAAGCACTGAGAAAGTGAAACTGAAGCCAGTTACAACCAAACAAGAAATAAGGCATTAATCTGTAACACTGTGAGTATTTAAACGCTGGGGCAAGCTACAAATGATTTAATGGATCCTCCA